TACGTCCATATTGGTAAAAAATTGGATTTCAAACAGAAATTTCAACCTATGAAGTGGCGACTACAATCTCCCGACATGAATCCAACAGAAAACTTGTGGAGTCATGTGAAATCGCAGCTGGAGAAATATGCAGTTCCTCTAAGTGGAATGAAGGAGTTGTGAGTGCGGCAACATGGCGTATGGAATGATATTCCCCCGGAAATGGTACGACGGTGTACCCAAAAATGCCCAGACGCATAGAAGAGCTAAAAAGTCCAAGGGGATGTGAACTCACTATTAAAAAATCATTAATAAAAATATTTCTTAAAAAAATAACCAGAGTGCAAAACTGTAACATTTGACTTTTTTTACAGTTTGGCGCGTCATTTTCTTTAACTGATATCAAATGGCTTTGAATTTTGCTTAATAGTAGTAAATGATATAACCTACAAAACAAGGCTAAGATCTTCAAAATCCGTGCATTAGAAAAAAAGTAACACACCTTTGAAGTTGAAACAATGAAATCGTGTTACAGTTTTGCTCGTCAGTGTATATAAGTAAGCGTATACAAAAAGGTGTTAACAGGCGGAATGATATAATATACATGCATAATATGTATAACGACAGAGTACCCACACCCCAGTGACAAAGTCTTGGGGCATAAACGATATGAGGGCAGAAAGAGCGGGAAAGAGAAAGAGGAGCCGAATAAGAAAGAGAAGAAAATACAAAGTCTGCATAAAGTTTTATACCATTTTTATCGCTTATTTTATAATTCCCGGGCAAAACTGCAAGGGCGTCTTAAAAAACTGACTCAGGGGTTGGGTTCGCTTCGGTTTTTTTTTTTTTTTTTTTTTTTTTTTTTTTGGGGCTTGGGGGAAAGGTCTGCTAAAGACGTTGCCGTTGGCTTATGCAAAACGTCGTCGACGATGGCGGCGGCACACAATTTCCGCTTTTTATGCTTATCCTGTAATTCATATTTATAGCAGCTATTTCTGTATCGTAATGTGTGCGAGGGTAAGGAATTTCCTGAGCCGCAGAATCTTTGAAAATTGCATTTTGCAAAATACTGCGAACAAAATGTAGGGGCGATGTGGTGGCAAAATAGATCACAAAATCCATTATAGATAACTTTTATTGCTGTTTACTACCAAATAAATCAAGTAACCCACCGCAAGCCATATAAAGTGAGAACAAATTAAAGCTACTTTACTTTATTTTCCCCGAAAGCGAACCCCTTACAAAACCGATTCAAGTGCACTCCGTCTCAAACAATATACGCTTTATTTATAAAGCAAATGCTTTTCGGCAGAGCTTCAAAAGTGAATCTATCAAAAGTTTCAATTTGAGAAGCAACAAGCCAAAATCAACAATTCAGCTTGTCTCTTACCAGCTTACGTTGTATGACCCCCCTCAAATTAAACTTATTCCCCAGTCGGCTGTCATGTCATTGTTTCACTTCGAATACAAAAACAAGACAAAAAAAAACAAAACACAAAGTTTCAACATTTTGTTTGTCATATTAACGTAAAGTATGATTTTTCAAGGGCCCTTTAAGTGCGTGAGCCACACTCTTTTCCTTCGACCCCAAAAGCTTCGCGTGCCGCTTTTATTTGTTTATAATTTACTTTACTTTTATTTACCAAAGACTCTTTTATTGTTTCAAGTCTACGTGCGATGATGACTTAAGTATGCCGATGTGTCATACTTCTCAAGCGTTGAGTGTGTTCAAGCGGTTGGCGGGGAAGTAGCTTAGAGCTCTATAAAATAGTTTGACACATTTAGCTTTTCTTGTTAATTTGTATAATACTTGAGGCATTTGCCTGTGACACTTGTGTGAAATGTTAAGCAAATAGCTCGCATTGCGCGATGATGAATGGTTGTTATGGCTAAGATCTTAGCGAATCAATTGTGACAGCCTTGGTAATAGAAAAGCCCGCGGCTTAGAGAATTTTAATTTGTTATATTAACATGTGGCACAACCTTTATTATTTAAGCTCGGGTGCCGCTGATCATTCTTTCACTTTATACCCGACTTCACACACCTTTAAAACAGAATTAGCATTAAAAATATGTACACAACCGATAATAAATCAAATCAAATCATGACAGCTGAGTGTGTTTAGTTCAAAGTGTCTAATTAAATTATACGCATTTAACGAGCGGCTGTGACTTGATTGTGCAAAGCCATAACTAAATAACTAAATGCATTTCAGTTGAGGTTTCATTTCCAACTTGCTCAGCCATGACTACTTTTGTTGTCGTAGTCACTTGTTTTTTTATTGCCGTATTCAGGTTGTTGTTTGTTTGCCTTGTTAGTGTCGATGTTTTGTATACACACATTTTTCACAAGGTGTAACATTTTAATTATCACAACGCTCATAATTTATAAGTATTACGTTTTTTCGCGTTTCATTTTCCATTGGCTCTTAGCAGCTAATTAAGTGTTAAAAATAAGTATTTTTCTTGGTTATATACCCTTTAAATTTAGCATGTTCATAAAAAAAACAATTCAAGACTGCAGTATAAACATTTTTGATAGGCCAAGTTACTCTACAGTGGAAGGTGATTTGTGTAATTACCCCCAACTTGCCCTCAATTGTTATATGAACGGGTCACAGACAGAGTAATAATTCCATTCCGCTTCGCACCAGTCAATTGACGTTCTCATATATAAATAAAACATATCTACGTTTTATGAAGCCATTGTCCAATCGTAAATTAAACAAGCCCCATATGGCCCATTCTATCTGCACACATTTACGTGTTCATACGTTCGGGGGTTGGGGAATATTTATAAACTAAATCACAAACAAAACACAAAATGTGCGACACGAATATGCGTAATACCGAAAATCAATACGGAAACTTTATCAACGTGATAATAAATTATGACTAATTGTGCTAAAAACGAGACGAAATGGAGTGAGTCCCTCCCCGCCCCTCTGTTTTGCGCCAATAATTAATAAAGTGTTGGCGAGCAGTGGTCTTTGAGCGGGGTGATTGGGGATATTCACAGAAATTCAAATCGAATAAATATAAAGGGTACTGAATATTTGGTTGGCTACCGAAATACTCTGTTTTAAAAACTGTAGCAATATATACAAATATTTTGTTAGTAGAAATATAAACAGTAAAGGCATTTAAAAACAAGAAAATCTTTATAATAATTTTTTTTTTTATTTCATTATTTGTGATATAATGTATTTCGAATAAATAATTCTCATACTACAAACAATTTTAGGTTGATCTAATCACACTTTGAATGTTTTTGAGCTTTTTTTTTCCCTTTCACAACACTAAATGTTACCATTAAGCCTTGTTATCCTTACCATAAAATTATCCTCTCACAAAAAAAATGAATGTTACTACTTTCATGTGGCACACACAAACCCTCTGATTACAGGGCATCCAAAGTACTCTTAAGTACCGATAAGAAATTTTGCCATTTTTACAATAGTATCATAATAATTTATGGCGGCCCATTGAGTGTTATAAAAGCTTCAATATTTTGTAGTTTACGACTTGCGCCAGTTGGGCATAAGCGTAATTACGCTCGACTACATACAACCATACACACATACATACAGCCAAAGTGTACGTCATTATTTTCGATGTGGCTGTTGCTGTGTGTATGTATGTTTTGTAGTTGGGCGATGAGTTATGAACGTTCAACTCTCGCCTCAGTTTCGGATTTTCCCTTTCCGCTTATTCCGCTTGCTCTTCTTCTTCTTCTTCTTCGGCTGGGCCCCTCTGTGTGCGCCATAATTTATGGCATGCGGCGAAATGGATTTTATTGCAAAAACCGTGTTTCGTGTTTATGGCACAAAACTGTGAGTGGGCAATATTCATTTCGTTTATGTACACTTATAACTACGATCGCCTGCAATTTCAGTTTGTTGTGTCGGCACTTTTTCGATCTGCCTTTGTACTACTCAATCGGTAATTCTCACTCCCTAAAGCTCTAAATGCTGATATATACGATCGCTTTTATTGCCATACTATAAATAGGGTGTTCGAAAGTGCTTAAAAATACCAAGCCTTCAATTGATAAATCACCACTATAAACAGCGGTGTTAGAAAATTCTCTTCTAGTAGGAAACCTTCAAGCCTGAAATGAAAATTGTTTTTATTATTTTTATATGAATTAATATTGATGAGCACACCAAATACTTATAATACTTGTTTTAATTTATAGCCACCCACCGCCTCTCACTTTATGCCTTTTTTTTCTAGGGTTCTACTAAAACCAATTTTAACACCACCACTTAACCCATAACTTTGGCACTTGTTTATTGCCCAATACATCACAAATGGCTAATAATTTCATTAGCCTAATTGCTCATTTAGAAATGGTCATAAAACCCGATGAACGCTGATTAAATGTTAATAACATTACTCCTTAATATAATTATAGAAAGCAAGTAAGATGGATTTAGCAATAGAAGGTTAAGCAAATATTTTACCAATTGATTAGCGGAATTGTTGATAACTTTAAAAATTCCGATTGTGATTATGAAATCCTTCATACATTTATATTTAAACATTTGAAATATGTGTCAACTTGCGGAACGCCCTTTGTTTTTTATTTTTCCCCTCAAGTCCAATAAATAAACACTCCCTTGGGTGTATTTAGATTTTTTCCAACACCACATTGCCATCGTTATATTAATGCCTTTCCATATCTTTCCGTTCGACTTTTTTGGCAAACATTTTAATGGCCTCATAACTCCCTTTATTTTGTTGTGGGATTAAAAATATTTATGGCCATAGGCCTGTTATTTATGTCGCCCAAAAGGGGCAAGAGAGCGACTTGCACGAGTATTTCAAGATCGCACCAGTTTTCTGTGGCAAGAGATAAAGATCTGGGGCAGAGTCAGCCAAAGAAGTGTTTGCCGAACAAAGTAGAGTTAAAGACAATAAGGACGAAAGATCTTATCGGTGATGAACAAAACGCACGATATCGCAACATACTTATACACAAATTTTCCCTTCTTTTCTTCCCAATTTTTTCAACCCAGCAGCTGGACAACAAAAGCAGTCCGTTGGCGCTATTGGCCCAAACATGCAGCGCCATTGGTGCGGATACCACAAACCCCAAGCTGCTGGCGGCGAACATCGAGAAGTCCACAAAGCAATTGCAGCACCACCAGCAAAAGGGATCCAATTCGGGAGGAGGAGGAGTCGGTGGATCGTTTGGTTTGGGGCAACAGATATCGGCGGATGGGAGTGCACGCGATAAATCCTCACCGGTTAGCAGTCATTCATCCAGCGTTAGCACCGGTTCCGTGGAGCAGCAGCAATTGACCCCCGCCCACGGCAGCAAACCGACGCCGACAACCTTTAAGCCGTACGAGCCGAACAACAACATAACCACAGCCGCCGATTGTGGCGCCACAAATCTCAGTAGTAGCAGCAACAACACCAGTGGCCAGCCGAGGGTTAAGACCCCCAAATCGACTTCGAACGGCGGCGGCCAGCGTTGCGATTCGAACCAAAGTGCCAGCTCGCAGCGAGAATCGCCCACAGCTGCCGGTTCGCTGAGAAGAACCCCCACCTCGGGATTGGGCGGCTTGAATGCGAGTGCAGTCCAGCTCAATGGAAGTCCCGGCCTGCCGCCCAATGCCTCCTCCGCCGCCTCCTCCTCGTCGACGCCCGGCCGCAGTAATTCCAAAGAGTCCGCTGCGATGCACAGTCCAAGTGCAGCGGCAGCAGCGGCGGCGGCGGCCCAAATCGCCAGCTCCAATCGCCTGCAGGAGGCCGCTCTGGCCGCCGCCAAGGAGGCCAGTTACGTGAAGGCTCTGCACGCGGCCAGCCAGCAAGGATCCGCCTCCGCGGCAGCAGCTGCTGCATCCTATTATCCACCCGGTAAGTGTTGCCAGCAAATCAGGGGGGCAATTGCGTAATGCGAGGGGCTAGGGGCGTTTTTGGGGGCAGATTGGGTGGGATTATGAGTGGTGAACATGTATACATATTACGGAATGGGGTATGCATTTCAAGTGATAGCTCTTTAAGTTACGGTTTGTGGTAGAAACAAATTACATTTTAATAAATGTTTTTATAATATAAAGAAAAAGTTTTTTGGTATTTAAAAATTATATAAAATCCAATTTCGTATTTCAAATATGAAATAAATATTTCAAAGTTTTAATGGCAGCTTAAATAAATAACATATCAAGCAATTTTTTTAAGAAAATAACGTATGTATTTCAAAAAACTTAACAAATTTTAAAGAAAAACGTTTTTTAAATCGCGCTAGAGGAAGCTGATGAAATCCATTTTTATAATTTTTTTTTCCCCGAATGTCTGTTTAGATTTAAGAGAAAGATTTCTAAAAATCAAAGTCTTATTATTTCCAATTTGTAGTCTGATTAAGTTGAACATATTTTAAAGTCAATTTTAAAGTAAATGTTTTCTGAAACTGTTCTTAAATTTTCTTCGATTCAACACGATATGTTATTAAAGTACTCCAATTAATCCAACTTGATATTCGTTGCAGGTTACGGCAGCCCCTATTCCATGGACTTGATGGCGGCCAGTTCGCTGATGTCGCCGCACCACGCGATGTTCAAGGCGTCGGCGATGAACCCGTATCTGAACTACGCCCGGATGAAGGGCCTCACGGAGCAGTCGATGATGGCGGCCACTCCCAACGTTTGCCGCGATCCCTACTGCACCGGATGTCCGGCGAGTCCGCACTACATCAACAAGGCGGCAGGGCAACCCTGTCCGGCGGGCTGTCCGCAGTGCGAGGGCGGCAGTAGTGGATCCGGAAGTGGTGCCTCCAAGTCCAACAGTTCCCAGGGTGGATCGGGATCCTCGAGTGCAGCGGCAGCGGCGGCGGCAGCGGCAGCTTCATCTTACCACGCCCAATTGGCCGCCTTGGCAGCCGCCTCACAAATGCCGTACGTTTGCTCGTGGATCGGCAGCGATGCCGCGTATTGTGGCAAGCGATTCGGCACCTCCGACGACCTGTTTCAACATCTGCGAACGCACACGGCCTCCGTACCGGATGCGGTACTCAGTGCAGCGGCCGCCGGCGGGATACCGCCCAATCATCCGCTTTTTCAGCGAACCTACCCCACCCCTCCATTGAGTCCGCTTTCGGCGGCGCGTTATCATCCTTACGGTAAACCCTCGATGTTGCCACCGTCGCTGGCGCCACCTGGAATGCCAGGGTTGCCACCGCATCCCGCTCTGGCACAATACTTTGCCCCGTACTCGTTATATGGTCCCCGGATGGGATCATCGCATCCGTAGTAGTCCGCAGGGGATCCTGGGAAAGGGAAGAGTCCTTCGGCCTTCAGTCAAACCCATCATTTCTCTTGAGTCGTCGTCGTATCTCTATGTGTTTTTTTTAGGTGTATATGACTCACTCGTGAAACGAAAAGCTAGTGATCTAATGTACTGTAGTTACATACAAATGTGTTTACAATTTTAGCTTAAGGAGTCTAGCCTCTAGATATATACTAATATATCTGAATATCGATGATATATATATATATATATAGATGCATAAAGAATGCAGCACATTAAATATCGCTCGTCCTTGTGTGGCTGCTACTAAACGCATATGATAATTTTAATATTATTTATTATATTCAAGCGAAATGATTACAGAATTAACGAAATGAAAAGATTGTCCAAAAACTTAAAGTTGTAAAATTCTTGTAAAATATATATATGAGTAACTGCTTATAATTAATTCTATATATATACCTATACATAAATGTGTAATTATGAACACTATTTTAATGTTCAATTAAGTCACTACAAAGAAATCAATAAATCAAAGAAAATTAAATACCAAAACAGTTTTATCTTGTAAATTTGGAAAGGGGAAGCGACGGCATAAAAATTAAGGTTCGTATAAAATTGACTAAAAGAAAATTAATTCAGTGGTGATGGCCTTTCAATTTCCATTTTTAACAAATCACAAAGCACTTGCTTGAACATAAAATCTATCAATTATCTTGTATTAAAACTTTGATCTGCACTTTTCCCCGACTTTCAGTTCATTTTCCAGGGAAAACTGTCGCAAACAGTTGGCTATGAACCAGAAACCAGATGCCTAACAAACAACGTATTGAAAAAGCTTTAAGTCATGACCAAAGGCAAACAAGACCAACCGAAAAAAAAAATGTATATCCATTGGCTCACAAATCATAACATTTCGGTTACGTTTGCCGCTAAATTATACCAGTGGAGCTACTGAAACTGCTACTGCTACCCCACACACACACACACACACACACACACACACGAAATGGCAGTAAATCAAATTTTATATTTCCCCCAAAAAGAAGTTGCACGACAAGGAAGGTGGATTGGGTGGTTGGTTGGAACTTAAGGGGCAGTCGCACACAGTTCACTGGCAATAGTTCCTCTGCTCACTGCCCACATATGGCGTCGATAAATTAAAATTTTCGTTTTTGCCATAGATGGTGGAAAGGCGGAGAGAGTTATGCCCCAGCATTTTGACAGCTAGCCGCCCCACCTGACAATTTATTGTATTATACGATGGTGGAAGAAGAGGGGGGAGGGGGAGAAGTGGGTTGAACAGGGAACACCCTTTTGACCTGGGTTCAGACTCCGACTCCGGTCACCATCTCTGTCCCTCTATGGAAGTCATAAAAAATATGCCATAAACCTACCACCCACACACACACACACCCGCACACCCATACACACACATATTGGCGCTGGCATCAATAATTCTTTCATAAATGTCCATTTCGCCACATATAGCCGAGAATCGAGAATCGTTATGGGCCAAAAAGGGAAGAGGGGACCTTTATAGCATGGAGGTTTTGGTGGGGGGTTTGGAGCTTATATATAAGTGATGTTCACGTTCAGTGCTTTTGACAAGCCGAGGATGAAGATCTCGCCCTCCGCAATACTCTCTTCCGATTCTTGTTTTATTTTGTTTCATACCACATCGCAGGTGAAAGCCACCGCCATCGCGTTGGCCATTATAGTTCCCTCTAGCCGCGACCATTTATCATTGGAGGCAGGTGCCTCCCCCACCCCCCTCCCAATTTCCCCTTCCTCTTTCCACTACCAAAAACCCATTCGACCAGGCTGGACTTGTCACCCAACCTCGCGGAGAAATAAAAGGAAAACTGGCAATGGGGAGAGTGGGGGATTTTTGGGTGGGTGGATGAAATTTATTGGTTGGGGATTTTGTGAAAATATTTCTTCTACCGTTTGCAAATTTATTTTTCCTGCAAAATAATGGAGATGAAAAATCGCCAAAAGATACAAAAATATTACAACGCGAAGCGACAATAAAACCATAAAAAACACGAAAACGAAGAGGAGCTCGAATAAAATATGACTATCCTATTTGGGGGAGTTGGGTTGCCGGCATGCAAATTGTTAAGGTAGCCAATTGGTGGGGAAAAGCCCCAGTATTAAATATACGATTATATACCTTACGATCCCAGAGAGTGTCCACTGTACTCGGTGATCCTACTTAGTCACTGCCGCACCATCTTGGCGACCATTAAAATCGCCGACTTGTTGGACTGAAGTTCGCTGGTGATAAGTGTCGACTGCATATTTAAAATGCAGACATGCTGGCTCTGTGCGAAAGCAGGTAAAATCGTAATTCACTGAAATTTACGATTGCAGCAGCAGCAAGGCAGCCAGACAAATGAAAGAAAAACAACTGAATGCTAAACACTTGGGCGGTAGAAAGTCTAAACGAATGGGGGATACTGTTCTAGCATAGCTTCCAAAAAATTTATTTTAAATTTGTATTAAAAAAATTAAGAAACAATCATACAATTATTTGAAATTTTTGTTATTATTAACTCATGAAATATTTGATCATTTTATTTTCCATTAATTACTTAATTTTCAATCCAAAGAAAGAGCAATCAGACCTCAACCATATTTCAGCTTATTTCCAATCTAGTTGCAGTTGTTCAGTGGCTTATACCCACTGGCCGCAAAGAGTGCGAACAAAAGACACCCAAACCCAAAGTGCAGGCCACAACAATAATTTTCAAAACCAAATGACAGCCGACAAAACCATATATCATTGTGCATGGAGGCAACGCCACCGTCTTGTCTGACTTTGCCACCCACGATCTGAACTTTTGTCACTTCAGAGGCGTCGCTGGCTGTCTTAACCGCTGTCTGTCGTCACCTCAGTCCCGCTCGGATCCCGCTCGAAAAATTTTAATTTCTCCAACCAAAAACAGAGAAAAACAGAAAAAAAAAATAAGAAGGAATGAGCCGTTGAGTCGCATGAGTTTAATAAATTGCCATGCAAGTGCTGCTTGAAATTGTCGCATGTGTCGCGAGGAATTGCAAGCAAATTGCGCGCACTAAACGTATGTATTTTTCCATTTCATTTCGACGGCTGTGCAGACCTCACATGGAACTATCAACGTCTGATGACATTTCCATAATTAGTCGAGCGTGTCTCTGTTGGTCGGGGTTTTTCGGTGGGGATATCCCCTTCTTGTCCCTATTGCCACCATGTTGCATGTTTGGACGCTTGTCTTGATTTGATTTGATGGCCCGAGTGAGCTGCACTTTGGATTCGACTTCACAGGGGGTTTTGGGCATCTGGGGTTGGTGCTGTGCCTTGAGCTGTTGGGTGTGATGTGATGTGATCATGATGAAGGCCTTTCATATTTATTTATTATGCACACAATTTTGCAGACATCGCTGTGCATGTCCCTGTCACGTCGTCTCCTTCAGCCATCTCCCATGTGCGAATTGACGCCGCATTTATGGTGTTGAAATATTAATGCCGAGAGTTGGTCATGACACTTTGATTTATGAGTCTCCGCAACACTTTCCCATATACTCCAGCAGGAGATGGGATACGGCGGGTCTGGGAGTTTTAGTTTTCAGCATTGAGATGTTGAAAGTACAAGTCGTTACGCCTCACATGCGGAAAAAGAAGCGAAAGACAGACATCTGACATTCAATGTGAAGTGTCGTTAATCCGCATAAATTTTGTAAGTAATATGTACTTATTATAGGCTTATTTCTTTAGGAGTGTTATCTTAAAATCTTGTTAGGTTGCCACTCTAAAAAAAATAACATTGACCACAGGCAAAAATAATTTTTAAAAATGTCGGTAAAACAAAACTTTTCTAATTTCAATCAGATTTTGAAGTGACCTCTAAAAGTTTCTATTTTAATTCTCTAACGAACTGCATTACTAGAATATTTTTTATTGTTCTCCCTTTTTATGATACAACCTCTTTCCAAATTTCCAAAAAGTGGGTTTGTTGAAAATTGACCAAAACTCACTAATTTCATGTCCATAACATTTCTAATTTTAATCAGCCCCTAACGGTAATTTTAAACAAATAATTATAAAACCTCACGTAAAAACTAAATTTAGATAAAACGCCATTTTTTGATAATTGTTAACTATAAATAATCATTTATATTCCCATTAGTATTGACTTAGCAGTAAATAGCTCCAAGCCAGCCGAATAACACACAAATCAGAACCAGAAATCGATGTTTTCCGAGTTGATGGCTAACAACCGCTACACGAGGAGAACAAGGCGCAAACAGCTAACCGTTCTGGCCAACAAACCAAACCAGAAGCCAGAATGCAGATACCGGAGGAGCAAACAGCAGCTTCTTGTTGGCCAAGCTAAAGGAGCTGACGATCCCTGGGTTGAGGTCGCAAAGCCAACGGCAACTGCATTTTATCTTTTACTCTTTGGATTTTTCGTTTTTTTCTTTTTAGCCAAGAAGAAGGAGGAAAATGCGTGGACATTAAATATGCATGAGCGAGAACATTACATATAAATAAATTTAGCAAACAGTTTGTATGCAATGCGCTTGCAAATGCATTTTATCGATGATGATGGTAATGATGATGCCCCTTTTCGAAGGTGTTGAAGTTGCAGCCGCGGTGCTCACGCAATGTCTGCGAATGGGACTTCTCCTGGGACTTCGGGGACCGCCATGAAACCGATGCATTTGACAGGCCTTCTGGGAGAAGCTGCACCGAGAAAAAATTAACATAATATATTGTAAAAAGTTTGCAAATTGTAAAATTTGTTCTTACTAAAAATCAAACTTATTTGGAAGTTAAATAATCAAACTTGTATTTTATCATCAAAATGGAAAGTCAAATTCTTTAGTTTTTCTTAACTTATTCGGGGCTTTATTTTATAACTTTAGAATGACCATTATAAATCCTATGATTACATTTTGCCAAATATAACAAATATATTAGTTATAAAAACTATTATATTTATTTTAATACTTTAAAGACCATTTTTAACATATAATTTTTTATGGTAGTGTGGATGGAGTGAATACCCACAAAGCACGAAATACTTTATATCTGGCGGTCTGACGGCGATGGCCAATTTCCATCCCATCCCATCCCATCCGACTCCATCCCATTCGATCCCATCCCATCCCGGCAGAACCCATTGTGGCGGTCAACATCGTTGGCCATTTTAAATATGAGCACAATGCTGCTGTTGTGCAATCTTGTTGGGAATTTTCGCTGGCAGCTCGACACTCCACGTACTCTGTCGCAGATCCTACTCCGTTCCCCTTCATCCTGCCCCATTCCCCGTGCCACACCATCGAGACTTCTGTCAACGGCTGCTGTCGTGTTGCATGTTAATTTCTGTCCGCGAACGCCGCGAATATATATGCCACGATTTTATAGCCACCACTTAGCACGCGCGATTGTCAAAAGAAATTCAAACAATATTTCTTGATCGTGCTGGGTTTTTATTTTCAAATTTTAATTGTCAGTCAATCAACCAAAATTATTTTCTAATTTATTTGTATTGTACTTTGAAAGCTTTAATGG